TCCTCGGTAATCTTATCCTTCATTAACTATTCAGAAGAGGAATCTGATCATTCCCTTCTCTCAGAATCCCCTTCTTCCTCCACAGTCTTCCTCTGGCCCCTCGACTGCTGACGTTTTATTTACCTCTGGGAAGCACTGAGCTGATCCAAAGTCGCCTTCCCATCAGGAACAGGGGACAGGGATTCCCAGACTTGATACTGGGGATACAAACATTTGGCAGTGTGTTGTTGTTGTTCTTTTGGTCAGCCCTCTTTTTAGGAAGTACAGGTACTGGCCAGCATGGTTGAAAGAGCCACACCTTTGGCATGGCATCCCTCTGAGGTTCCAGGCTATTCCACAGCAGTAGCTGTGTACCAGGTTGTAGGGAGGGGGGGTGAGGCGCTCACTGGAATCCTGCCAGAAAGGGAAAGGTGTGGGGCAGGTGACCGATGAGCAGCTGGCTGCTTCAGACAGGGCAACCAACTGGCATCTGGGAAATAGACCCTTCTCATGGTAGTGGGGGAACCCAGCAGTATCTCATTTGATTGTCCAGGGGCCCGTCTCAGACTGTGGACCTTTATAAATATCAAAGCGCAACAGGCCTCTTGCATTTGACTGAACCCAAAGCATCTGCCTGGGAGATGAGCTTAACAACTGTCAGGCAGGGGCGGTAAGATGGAAACCATGATGATATTTTATACTGTTATAATGCTACCTTTGATGGAGGTTATAGGACAGTTAGTGCTCTCTCAACCTTATCTCATTTTGTTGCCTTTTCCTTATTTTTTTAATTGGGTATATTTGAAATAAACATGCTTCTAACATGCTTGTGATCTAACAGAATGATCCCCTCTTTCTAGGCAAGAGTACCCAAACCCTATATCCTTGATGGGGGCATGCCAATATTATTAACTGCATTTATCATGTGGTATACTTGATCTCTGGACTTATCTTATATATCTGCATACCGTCATATCAACCAGGAAGTAGAAACAGCCCAAATATCTGCTGACCAATGAATAGAAAAAGAAGCTGCTCCAGGTATACAGTGGAATATAATGCTGTCTCAGAAAAGAATATCCTGCCATTTGCCACAATATGCACGGTCCTGGGAGCATCAGGCTAAGACAGAATGAAAGGTGCCTCACACCACCTTTATATGTAGAATTTGAAAGTTGGATGTATAGAAATGGAAAATAAACCATGGTGGGAAGAGGAGTGGAAGCAGGGAGAGATGTTTTGGTGTTATGTCTGAATAGGAAGTGCCGCCCTTGTATGCAAGGCTTAGTTCTCATTGCAGCGGTTTTGAGAACTGGGGCTTGGGAAGGTTGGGAGGTCACCAGGGTTATGCCATCATAGATGAATTAACCTATGGATAGCTTTATAATTCGATAGCATTTAGAAATGCACACAATTAAGAAATAGGTCAAGCACAATTAAGAGATAGGTCAAGCTGGAGCGAGCAAAGACCTGGGGGCCTTTGAAGTGTGTGTCTTGTCCATTGCATGACCCTCTTTCATTGCTTCCTGGATGCTATGGGGTGAACGGCTTCCTTTTCACATGTCCTGCTGACTAGATGTCTAGTCTCACTTTAGGACCAAAGAAATGGACCTTAGTGACTGTGAGCCAAAGTAAGACTTTCCCTCTTTTGTCACGTCAATGAAATGCTGACCATGCCAGTTAGTTTTAACTGTCAGAGTATCCGACTGTGAGGTTGTCTAGATTAGGTTGTCTGTTGGGGAATAACTTGATTGCTGTAATTGACATGGGAAGATCCAGCCAGAAAGTAGATGGCACCATTTCCTAGTTTGGGGTCTTGGACAGTAGATGAGTGGAGGAAGTTTTCCATTCCACTCTGGTCTCAACTGTGGGTGTGATGTGACCAGCTGTTTTAAGTTCCTGCCTTGACTCTCCTGCTGTGATGGACTGGAACCTGAAACTGTGATCTAAACTAAGCTGTTTCTCTCCTAAGCTGCCTTCTGTTGGGGTGTCACAGCAGCAGAAACTAGAGTACCAGCTAACACAACTACCTGATTTAAACATTCCAGGAACTGCATAGAATAGGTGTGTGTGTGTGTGTGTGTGTGTGTGTGTGTTCGTGCGTGTGTATTTGCACAGTTTTAGAGACCAGGTTTCTCTGTGTAACTCTGGCTATCCTGGGCTCACTTTGTTCACCAGGTTAGCCTCAGACTCAGAGATATGCCTACTTCTGCCTCCCAAGTACTGAGATTAAAGATGTGTGCTACCACTCTCGGGCTAAAGGAGTGTATACTTTTGATGACACAGATCAATATGCAGAGCACTGTGGAGTGAACAGATAATCAACTTTTTCAGAGGAGGGATTAAAAGCTCCAGAAGTTTAAATAATTGTCTTAAGCTGGTAAGTGGCCACAATCTGAACGTCTGCATTCTTTCCTGCCATTCTGGCTTGGCCCACTAGGCTGTGAGTAGCTGTGCAAGATGAGGCTCCCTTGGACCAGGCAGACCTCAGAGTCACCCCATTCTGTTCATGCTACCTGTTGGTTCCCTTTACATCACTGTCAAGATGTGCTGCTGGTGCAGGTAGGGATTCCACTGTGCACATTGTAAGAATTTATCATTCTAAAACAAGGCAAAGCTTATTACACAGACTAACTTTAGGCCTGTTCTCTGCTCAAGTCTCAAGGCTCAGACTTCTCCACAAACAGCATGCCCATTGGGGCATGGAGCCCAGCCCAGCTAGAATGCAATAGCTTGGCTTGGGAGGACAGAGCTGGCAAAATTTCCCTTCTTAGGAAGTACCTGTCCAGAGCTCTTCAGGATTCAAGAGAAGATGGAGCTGGAGGGCAAGACTTGAGGTTTGAAGGCATCTACAAAGTTTTCAAAATACACTTTGTAAAACCACAGGGTGAGTCACACCATTTCTTCCAGCTGAGACCATCAAAAAAAAATCTAAGCAATTCAAGGTTGAGAAATCACCCATCTGGATGCACTTCCTTCATCCTGCAGAGAAGATACCCTTCTCTCTTCCTGGACACCCTAGAGGTTAGTAAAAGACATAGCTTTGGGGACAGGGCTGGCACGGGAGATGATTAAAGCCTCCTATTGGTTTGTGCCTATTGTTGATGCTTTGTCTGTTGGTGTGAAGTGCTCTGCAGGTGGACAGCCATATATATTTTTCTCAATGTTCCACTTCCTTTTTTATTCTTAAAATAGTTATTTCATTTATTTGAATGTGTGTGCATGCATGCTTGAGTATGTCTGAGTCTCTGTGTCTTTGTACATCTATTGTGTATGCGTGTGCATCTCTCTGTGTGTTTATGTATATGCACAAGCAAAAATGTGTCACTATGTCTGTCTGTCTATGTGTGTGCATAAGCATGTTTTAACAACTCTCTCTGTGTATGTCTATCTGTGTGTGTTCATGAGCATGCTTAAACATGCCTGTGTGTGTATTAGTGTGTGTGTGTATGAGTGTGCATGCCATGAGGTACATGTGGAGTCAGACATGTGGAAGTTAATATTCATGAACTCAAGTCATCAGGCTCCAGTGCAAAAGGAAGCTGTTCCTCCGAAACCTGGCCCTCAAGACGAATCCATTGGAGAGAAGGGACAAGTAGTTTTATGCTCTTTGTGAGCAAGAGGTAAAGCAAAAGACAACACCCTGGAAAGGAAATACTGTTCTTAAAATCTCTCCATGAGTTTTCTTGATCCAGGCAGCATAAACATGGCCACAAGTCAGTGGCATGGTCTGCTGAGGAAGTCTGAGCTTGTCAGCCATGGGTACTTCTGAGAAGACAGGCCACTGGACTTGACCTCTGTGGCCTCTTCCATGCTGTGCCCCAGTAAAGCCAGACACACGGAGAGTGGAGGGGAGGTGCATCTTGGGGATTCTTTGAGGGGACATGGGGTTTGTAGCTGGTTTGTTTTTCTTCGTAGCTGATAAAGTTACAAAAGCTTTCTATCTCAAAAGTAAAATAAAGCAAAACCAGCAAACAGCAAAAGGAAAGTGTGATACATGCAACAATACCTTACACACTCCTGACCCACGTCTCCTCAAATATCCCAGCCTACACCCCCACAATACCTGCATTTTAGAATTCAGGATTAAGCTCTTTGATCCAAGCCTGGATGCTAATAAACTGTAGTGAGAAAGGAACATGACAGTGAAGTTCTGAAAGGAACTTTGAAAACTGGGGTAACGTCTCGGGGGGGCTAAGAACTTGGTGCGCTTGAAGAATAATTTGTTTGATTTGTGCTATTCTGAGAAGTGATCCTCCCCCAGTATATGTGATCACTTATCCACCCACTGACGCATTTGTGCTAAAAGTCGTGATCCAGATACCTGAATCCTTCAGCCCTTAAAGGCCTGCTATCAGGTGACCACCCTGAGGTCCTCTTACGCAGGGCCAGCCTCCTCCAGGACGCTCGGATGCCTGCTCAGAGCCCGGTTTATCAGGGCATCTGCCAGCTCCTGCCAAGGGCCCTGGTTGTGTCCACTCTGGCCTATGAGGGGAGCTGGATCTCACCCAGAGCAACGCCCGAGTTTTGGTTGAGGGTATTACAGCAGAGTAAGAGTTTACTTCGGAGCTACAGAATTCAGCACCAGGGCCAGCTCAACTTAGGCAGAATTGTTAAAACTTCGTGAAGGCAAGCCGATGGAATGAAACCACTCTGGGAATGGAAAACTCAAAGGAGATATAATGGTTGAGCAGGTAAAGCAGCTCTCCCCTTTCCCTCCAGCTGCACATTTCCATGGAAAAGCACAGGACATATTTGCAACTGCTTAGAAAGGCCTGCCTGGGCACTGTCTCCTATAGTGGGCCTCTGCGTGTCATCTTAGCTGTCGCCTGTAAGTGTTCCTCCATGAGAGAGGTGCAGGTCGCTTGCCTGACACAGCTCTTCCTCACTGGGATAGTGAGACCTGAGCCTCCTGGGAGGCCGATGGTGCAGGGCCTGCTTATGGGCTCCCTTGCCTGCTGCTGGATCAAGTGACGCTGGTGCTGGCGGCCGACGGTTCCCACGGTGGGAAACCGAGCACCATGTTCAGAAAGATCCACTCCATTCTCCACCACAGCCCACAGAGGAAGGCAGCGGCCGAGGGCCCCTACTACACAGGAACCAGCCCTACTGTCAGGCTGTTTCGCAGTACTTCCATGTATGTGGTTGCGGACCACTTTGAGAGGCCCAGCGAGTCCTTAAAGAAGTACAGAAGCACCCACAGCATGGACACCAGCCTGCACTATCTGCAGCAGGAGGACCGTGCCTGGATGTACTCACGCACCCAGGACTGCCTGCAGTACCTTCAGGAGCTGCTGGCCCTGCGGAAGAAGTATCTTAGCAGTCTGGGTGACCTGAGGCCCCGGCGCGCACAGGGCACAGGCTCCACCTCTTCCAAGTCTTCCAAGGGAACAGTGCAGAAGACCCCAGGAGAAGGCAAGGTAAGTTTAGAGCCTTCTGGCTGCAAGCTGTGGTTCTTCCCAGGGCCTTGGGACACTTGCTGGAAGTCCCTGCTCTGAAGTGGACACCATTGAGTGGGGTTGACAGTCCCCAGACTTTCAGTGCTCCTGGACTTGTGGGGAGCTGCTTTTCAGTGCCTAGGAGATTGGGGTCCAGATCCAGAGCAGGAAAGAAGGGCAAGGGCTTCAGCGCCAGGAGGTTCTGTCTGCGCCTGTGTGTGGCCATATCACTTAGTGCCTGATTTGATAGAGTTGGCTTTGGGGGAACAATGGCCAATCTCCCCAAGAATAACTGCTCTTCTGAAAACAACTGCTGTCATCACATCTGAAAGGCCTCCAGCCAGACACGAGTGTGACATCATGAACTAAACCTTGTGTGTTTGTCTCACTGTTGCTGCTTACTGCAGGGTTTTGCAGACACAGACTTTCTTTTTCTTTTATAGTATTCAAATATGCCAGATCTTCCATGTCTCAGAAGGGAAACTGAGGCTCAGAAACCGATCCCTATTGGCTGGGTCAGTTGCTTCTATATTCACGTCCTTGGCATATTTCATTTTATTTTATTTCTAAGGCTTGGTCTCTATGTGGCTGAGGATGGCCCTGAACTTAGAATCTTTCCACCTGGGCCCCCTGAATGCTGGAACTGGAAGCCTATGCCACTATGTTACCTTGCCACTGTGTCACCACGGTGCTCTGTTGCTTATTTATAGTACCTGTAGTTTGAGAGTTGTCTGCTGCATTCTAACAACTGTTCTCCTGATGGCTAGACCAGGTGTTCAGAGCAGGCCCCATTCTCTCCCCAGAGTACCCTGAGGGCTCTACAAGATCTATTAATGTTGAATGGCTGATTGGACTGTCATCAAATCTCTAGGACTTGGCTTCACTCAACAGGTTTCAACTATTTGCACTTAATACCGCTTGGAAGTGGGTTAAAGAATCATTTTAACTGTACAAATGTGTAAGTGTTGAGCCTCATACAGGGAGGGCCTCCTAGTCTGGGGTCAAGATGCTGAGGCCCATGCCAGTTGGCTATGGGGTTTGTGCCAGTTTCTTCCCTTGCAACAGGCACTGGTGACAAAGGGGGCTGCAAGGCTCTGGGCTTCCTTCCAGCTTGACTCTCTTGGGATTCTGGGCCTTGCTTAGCTGCTTACCAAGGACAGCTCTGCATTTCCCTGCAGATGAAGCCTGTTAAGACACAGCTGGCTCCTTATGGTGCTGAGGATGGGGGTGGGCATGCAAGGGCTATGTGTTCTCTCCCCAGCTTATCTGGCACCTCCTCTCATACACTACTCTGTACTTGCCCCGAATTTAAAAAGAAATTTGGGAACAGAGATCGGTAAAGGAAAATGGATTTATTTACAGTTTGACCAGAACTAGGGGCAGAAAATTCTTGGATTCTCTCCCCTCTCCTGGAGCAATACGACAGTTTTACAGGAAAGATGAAACTGAAGCCCTATAGAAATGCGTATGCTGATGTAGCTCGGAGAGAGGCTTTCTGAAAGGTGTGAAACCTCGTCCAGGGAGGCAAGCTCCTCCTCCTCTTCCTCCTCCTCCTCTTCCTCCTCCTCCTCTTCCTCCTCCTCCTCGTCCTCCTCTTCCTCCTCCTCCTCTTCCTCCTCCTCCTCCTCTTCCTCCTCCTTTTCCTCTTCCTCCTTCTCTTCTTCCTCCTTTTCTCTTCTTTCTCCTCCTCCTCCTCCTTCTCTCCTTCCTCCTCCTTTTCCTCCTCTTCCTCCTCCTCTTCCTCCTCCTCTTCCTCTTCCTCCTCTTCCTCCTCTTTCTCTTCCTCCTCCTCTTCCTCCTCCTCTTCTTCCACATCCTCTTCCTTCTCCCCCTCCTCCTCTTCCTCCTCTTCCTTTTCCTCCTCCTCTTCCTCCTCTTCCTCCTCTTCCTCCTCCTCTTCTTCTTTCTCTTCCTCTTCCTTCTCCACCCCTGGGGCCAGGGTTTAAGCCTGTTTTCTCTGGGTAGTTTTGTTCTCTGGGCCATTGTTTTAGGGCCCCTCACACAAACAAGCCAGAATACTGAAAAGTTGCCGAAGGTTGAAGTCTGATCTTCACTCTTCTGACTTCTTGGGACCTGATTTAGTGGCAAAGCTATAGCTGTGACATCATGCCCGCTGAGGAGTACTGCCACCCAACAGGACCTGGTACCCAGTCTTTCCTGCTGCAGCAGTGTTTATTACCTCAGAGATACCAGGCACTTCCAACCAGCAGCCACAGACCAGCCTCCCTTACCTTCTGCCTACAGAAAGCCTTATGCTGGGCTTGGCTGTGAGAGGACTTAGTCAGGCTCCAGGACTGGCAGGGTGGCTACGTCTTCCCTCCAGAAATGCCACAATCCTGCCAAGAGTCAGGATTTAGGCCCCTACTGTTCTTTTTCCTGCTTTCCATTATAGATTGAATTGTATGTCATCTCTCCAAATTCACATGCTGAAGATCTAGTGCCCAGCACCACAGAAGGCGATCTTATTTGGAAATAGTGCAACCAGAAGTTTCAGGGTTAAAGCTCAGGCTCTGCAAATTCCAGTTAAGCAATGGTGAAAGGCAGGGAAGGAGATTTATTCAATGTGGCCACATCAGGAAGAGGAAGAAAGAAAGGAATTCAGTTGCCCCTTTAGTGTCAAAGCCTGGGCTCTGGAAGGCATACTGAGAAGGACTCAGCGGTCTGTTCCAACACACCCATTAAAGAGGCAAGGACGAGTGAACGGTGGAGGAGGGGATGACTGGACGCAGCGGCAGCATGAGAAGAGGAAGAAAAGTTTTTCATCTCTGCAGCACTGATGTGAGTTTACGTTCCACACAGGATAAGAAGGACGTATGGTGACACAGACCTGGTCAAGGTGTGCTCTCACTCATCACTGTCCCATCACTGACTTGTCTGTCCTGCAGGGTGGCCCACAACATTGTTAGCACCATGTGACATCTCTTCCTTGGAGGCAAATTCATTCTCTGGAAGCAGGGCTTCAGCCTTCCCCTGTTGCAAATTGACTGATCTACATCCTTAGCCTTGAGATGTTTAATTCTTGAAGAAACCATCATTCCATCAGTCTGACAGCACAAATCTTTCTAAAATGTCTCCTCTACCATCAGGACAGGTCTCTTCTTTGTTTTCAGACCTCAGTTTTGCAGGATTTGGGGTGATATGCTGGCCTCGTTAAAAAAAATCTCTGGAATACTTTTATTCTTTAAATAAATATCACAAGCAGTATTGGAGGGGCCGAGTTCAGGTCACTGCTAGGTGACCATGGCTCAGAGCCGCCTCTCTGTAACATCTCAGCCACTGTTGGAAGGGCTGACACAAATGATTCCATCTTCGTTGCTGCTTTTGAGACAGAGTTTTCCTATGAAGGTCAGGCTGACCTCAAACTCAAGATCCCCCTACTTCAGCCTCTCAATGAAAGGCAAGTGCCCCCTGTCCAGTGTGACCTCATTCTCAGTCTGATAATTTCCCTTCTCCCTTCTGAGCAATTTTCTTTGAAGACATTGATGATTAGCCATCTGGTTTGATATCAACTTTCCTTTATTACTGGGATAAGCTCTGTCCTAATGGGCTGATATGGTCCCATATCATGAGGGACAAGTAACAGATGCCAAGGAGTTAGTGCTGATAACAGCCTTTATGGAGAAGTTTTAAGCAACTGAGAGGTATAAAAGGGATGCAAACCCACTCGGAGTCCATTCTTGAATTTTGCTCTGTCTGTCCTGTGGGTGGTATCCTAGTATCTTAGGGGAAAAATTTGTTTGGGACCCTTTGTTAGAAACTGCACTTCTGCAGAGTATTGACCAGCAACAGCCACAAAGATGTGTAGGATGAATAGAAACACAGCTAGCAAAAGCAAATACTTACAGAAAACTAGTTTGTGGTTCTGGAGAGATGGCTTAGGGGTTAAGGATAGTCGCTGCTCTTCCAGAGGGCCCAAACTTCCTAGCATTCACACTGGATAATTTACAACTACCTGTAACGCCAACTCTACGGACTCCAATAACTTCTCTGGCCTCTGTGAACATACAGATGATATTTACTCATACATACAGGTACATGTATACATAAAATAAAAATAATACAAATAAATATTAAAAAGCATAATAAAAAGTCTGAAAATTGAGTGCTTGCTTATAAATATACTGCTTGATGGCCAATGTCATTGGTTTTTAATTGTTAAACAATCCAGTGCTAGGGTTTATCTAGTTATCATTGCTTAAAGGTTAGTTAATGAAACAATTAGGAACCACCTTGGGAAAAGTTAGTTCCACTAACAACTCTAGTTTGGAAGAATCTAGCTTGGGAAGGAACTCTGAGCTGCTTTGAGAATGGTCCCCTTCAACTTACATATTGCAGTTCCTCTTCCGTAGTTGGGAAAGATTAGGAGATGTAGCCTTTTGGGAGGAGGTGTGTCACTGTTGGAGTGGGCTTTGAAGTTCAAAAAAGCCAGGCTGTTCCCAGTTAATTCTCTCACTCTGTCCCTATCTGTGGATGAGAACGTAAACTCTTGGCGGCTACTACAGCACCATGTCTGCCTGTTGCCATGCTCCTTGCCATGATGGTCATGTACACTAACCCTCTGAAACTGTAAGCAAGCCTCCAATAAACGCTTTCATAGGTCGCCATAGTCATACTTATCACTGCAAGAAGAAAGTAGCTGAGGTGCTCTCCTAAGCAATGCCTCTTTGAAGGCTTATGTAATTCAGGAGTGACATGCATTTAGTATGTGCTTTGTTACTTAAGATAGAGATAACTACGCTTTAGCTTTTTATCAGTATATAAAAGTGTGTGTGTCAACTGGATCTCATTAACAGTTTTTATAAGTAAAATGTTTTAAAGGCAAAAAGTTTAAAACTCACTTTAAATTATTATTAAAAATTATAATAGATATGTCTTACTCTATGCTCTTTATGACAGTTTTTAAAATCTATGTTTTGGTTTTCTGAGTCAGGGTCTGAATGCTGGAACCTAGGCTGACCTGGAATTCATGACAATCCGCCTAT